TATATATCATATAGAAAGTGTCGGTCAGTCTTCTTGAGTTAGGGCTAACTTGAGGCTTTTGCAATAGCGAGTTCAAACTCTGAGGATGTCCATCAGATGATGAATGAAAACTTAACCCGCTTTCACCCGAAACAAGGGCTCATTTCTTGTGGATTTCTTCAAACTGAAGGTCATATCAAAGCTAAACGGCCGTCATCTTTTGTTGGGACCGACCCCGAAATCTCTGCTCCATTAACTTTCACACGAAATGAAAGTTTTCACAACAATTCGGCCATTGTAGTCAGTGTCGAGCTCATTTCCCCTTCGATTGAAAGTGGGCTTGGTGAACAGATTCGAAGGTCACTCCCACCTGAAGTCGACAGCGGATTCTTTTTGGCCAGGCGTAAATTGGCTTATTGGAACATTCTAGGTGGCGCTGTTTCCGAGGCATTCTCCTTCGACTACAGTGGAAACGTGCAAATCTCGAAATCTCTTCGGAATCAAAAGAGATCACATGAGATGTATTCACCCTATTTCGTTTAAGGTAGTTGAATTTTCCCCCTTTACATGAGCAATGTTGATGTTTCCACATCGCCTTGCTTCCAAAAAGGTATTTTCATCCAGAGTGAACTGCAGTGTGACCTCGCCTGAACTGGTCGCATCAACAACCCCGACGGGACTCTAACCATGGCAGTACTGTGTGTAATTTCGACACATTAACTACAGCGCCACATTGCCACAAGTGCTTTTGGTTCACAGAGCATATGTGAATTTCCTCTCATATTACTGATGATATTACTGATAATCTCGAAACCCTGATTAGGAACGAAAAATAGAAACGGTTTGCCTCAGAAACATCGTCAAATGGAATGTTCCTATGCGGTCGTCTTCTATTTGGACTGACCTTTCAAGCTAATCTTTATACACTTTTCACAACCATCTAATCTCAGAAGCTTCTTCGAAACCCTTGTTTTCTTCATATTTACAATTGCCGAACAATTTGATCAGAAAGCCCTGTTCGAGGTCGCCCAGACGACCGGACACAATGAAAGAACCGGGGGGAAACCACTTTTTATGGACTATTCTACCTGAAAAACCGCGTGTTTTGTTGCGCAGTTTTCCCGCCAACGAGGTCATCCGCAACATGTGCGCCGCTGTTGCGGGACTGAATCCGGCGCCGAATGTGAAGAGGGCGTCTACGCGACCGGGTGAAGTGGCGCAAGGCGACTTGTCGACCGATCCTGTGCTGGCTTCGCCTTTTGCCATGTCCGATCCCGTCAGTCTTGAGTCGACGTTGTTGGCGTTCGTCATGTTAGCCACGTTGGCGACATTGGCAACATTGGTGACGTTGGCCACGTTAGCGACGTTGGCGACGTTGACGACGTTGGAGACGTTGGCGACGTTGACGACGTTGGAGACGGCAGCAGCGGCGGCGGCGGTGGCGGCCGCAAACTCGCCGGCAGTTGACCAACCGGTGACATTGTTGCCGAGTGTACTGGCCGGCTGGACGGGCGGTAAGGGGCCGGAAGTGGAATAACCGACGAGTGTGCCTGCCGACGTGTGTCGGTCCATGTGAAACGGTACCGCTGGCAGTCGCTGTAGGCCCGACTGAGTGGGCGGACCGTCGGGATTCGGCATCGGCGAAGCGACGACCGACTGGCAAGTGGTCGGTGGACCGGGCAGAAAGTGGCTGGTCGGCGGGGCCATAAAAGAGCCGGTCGGCGTTGAGAATTGCCCCGCCAGATAGACGGGAGATTGAGCTGATTGGTCGAACCCAGGCCAGACACCGAGGCTGTCTTGCCGTGGCGTTGATGCGTCGACGCCACGACAGTACTGATGGCTGCGGGGCTCGATTCCCTCTGCGTTGTGAGGCGAGCCGAAGTGCGTGTGTGGCGTCCAACCACCCGTCGCCAGGCAACAGACTCGACTGAGCCCCGAGTCCGAGACAAAGCGATTCGCCTCAACAGGACGCCTCTGCCAGGCGCCGGGAGGAGGCAGACGACCGGAAACTGGTAACTTGGCCGACTCGACGAGATTGGCCTCGCAGAGTCCGTTTCGCGACTCGCCAGAGACGTTGCCACACGTCGACGTCATCGTTGACGCTAAAGTTGTTGATGTTGAAGTTGACTTTGACTTTGACGTTGACGTTGGCGTCAACGTTGACATCAGCGCCTAGTCTGTGTAATCGGCTTTGTAGTCGCCTTGGTCACCGTGGCCGAAAGGAGGGATGGCTGATGCGTGCATTGGCCGGGCTGTCGGTTGGCCTGTCCAGAAGAATGGGAGGAGTGGGCAGGAGAGGAGGGTTAGCGAACGGAGACGAATCTGTTTGCTTTGGCTGGTGCTGCAAAAAGTGTACTTTGTGCATGTCAAGTGTAATTTCACTTCGATGGGCCGTCTGAGGAAAGAAAGTGTAGTGAGGACTTTCATTTGTTCACAATGTCTGCCTGATGAAGAGATTCTTGCGTCAATTTAACCAAAAGACTATGACCGACTCCTGTCGTCCTCACGTCATTTAGGCACAACCGGAAAGTTTAACTTCACACAATCCGGGAGACAGATTTTTGCACTTTTCCCCAACATGTTGCCGTTGCAGACGCCATCCGCTCCAGGACCCTTTCCTACAAACATTATACCCTAGTTTAATTGAATATATGAAGACCAAGATGTTGTGGCCTCTGGTGTGGTCGCAGTCTCCTTTCGATTGA